AGGCAGGAGACTCGCTTGAGCCCAGGAGTTGGAGGTTGCTGTGAGCGTGATGCCATGGCACTCTACCCAGGGGGATAGCTTGAGGCTCCGTCTCAAAATAAATAAATAAATAAATAAATGAACAAACTGGAAGTGCCCTGAAGGATGACCTGAAGCGTGGCGAGCTGCTTTAGGTGGGGGCCCGCAGGTCCCCAGGACTCCACCTCCTGCCAACCCCAGGAGGCAGCTCTTTCGCTGCCCCCGCTCACTGCGCCCTCTGCGACTCGCTTACCGCGTCTGCAGTTTCGTGGGCCCGGCCCCTGCTCTCTCCACCGCCACCCTCATCCCACCCCATTGTCCTGGCAGGAACTGCACGCGGCGGAGGTACGCAGAAACAAGGAGCAGCGGGAGGAGATGTCCGGCTGAGGGCTGCGGACATGGCGGGCGCCTGGATCCTGAGACGAGACAGAAATACTTTCGGGTTTTGGTTTAGTTTTGTTCAAGCTGTCTAGATGCAACTTGTGTTCCTGCTCCCTCCCCTCTTCCCCACACTCCCAGCCTCATGCTTTGCTTTCCGCACTCTGAGCTGTCTAGTCTTAGTGGTGAGTCGCTGGCCATGGGCTGTCCCCAGGGGAGCCGCCAGACACAGACATGATCTCTTAGTTCAGACGCCATGCCAGGCCAGTGCGAGGTTCCCTCTAGGAGGCTGTTTTCTGGATATGGTGGAGACCTTAATAAACCCAGCAGCAGTGGCCGGCTTCATGGTGCCTTGCGCTGGGCTGTCTGGTCAGCACCTTGTCAGTGAGGGCATGTCCTCTGAGCCAGCTCGGTACTGGACAACAGGCAAAGGCAAAAGCACCTGCATGTCTTCCCAAGGGGGAGGGGAGGGGTCTCGGAGGATGAGAAGGTTGGGCTAAGAAGGATGCTGGGCAGGTGGAGGTTGAGTCTCCCTGTCATCAAAGCCAACCCTAGAGCCTGCTGTGCAGCAGGAGCTTTTTGAAACTGGTGGGTGGGGCTGGGGGCTGCACCACTCTCTAAAGTAGTTGCACACTGGTCCTCTGAGCACCTAGCCTGAGGTGGGGACCCTGGGTCTTCCTAGGACCCTGGGCCTACAGTCATCTGAGAGGGCTAGAGTTGAGGGACAGGGTAGGTGTGGTCTGGCCTGAAGTTCTGGGGAGTGGGCATTCTCTACCAGGGACCTATGAGCAGGTTCTTTGGTGGTCTAGAGGGTTTCAGGCAGACTGGACACCACCTGCTGTCCCCACCAGTTCAGATGCATACCCTCCAAAGAGCCCAGGTACATGTGTGGGACTTTCTGCTGCCTCTCCCCTCAGGGCCCTTTGACCCCATCATGACCCCATCTCTGCCCTCTGCTCCCCTGGCTCCGGGGTTTTCAGGCTGCCTCTAGGCAGATGTGGCAGTTGTGAGTGGTGGCCACAAGTCCTCTTCAGGGACTGGACCCTCCCCCCCAAAGGGGGATTCCACTGGACCAACTGCCTACAGATTCCAGTGTTGGAAGAGCAGGGAATAGGATTCCCAAGCTAGCCCTTCACGACACCTCATCTATTTTTGGAATTCCTCAAGGGAGGGGCTGTGGGTCAGGACACCTGGCCCTAGGCCTCTCTTGCCAACAACCTCCTAGGCTGGGTTCCTATCCTTCCCTCACCCTGGGGGTCTCCACATCCCCCCGTAGCCCTTGAGGATGGTCATCTGCCTGGGCAGGAGAGGCCTGTCTTTGTCCCACTGCAGTACCCCTTCTCCAGGGCACCCCACCTACAGCTGGTGCCACAGCAAGGGCTGGAGAGCACACAGGGACCCACTGCCCCCTTCATGTCCCCACAAAAACAGCCTCCAGCTAGAGCACCAAGCCAGGATGGGAACCCAGGTGCTCACATGTGCATTTTGTGGGACACAGAAAGGAAGTAGATAGGGGACTGAGGGCTGGAATTCTTGTAGGTGGTAGCTCTCTCACAGCAGAAGCCTAGTACAGTATCACCCATCTCATCCACGTAGTGAAGTGAACTTGAAATTAAATCAGTGAACAATTGAAGAAGAACCTGTGTGTTTAAGACATGAATAGGCTCGGCGCCTGTGGCTCAAGTGGCTAAGGCGCCAGCCACATACACCTAAGGTGGCGGGTTCAAATCCAGCCCGGGCCTGCCAAAACAACAATGACAGCTGCAACCAAAAAATAGCCAGGCGTTGTGGTGGGTGCCTGTGGTCCCAGCTACTTGGGAGGCAGAGGCAGGAGACTCGCTTGAGCCCAGGAGTTGGAGCTTGCTGTAAGCTGTGATGCAACGGCACTCTACCCAGGGGGATAGCTTGAGGCTCTGTTTCAAAAAAAAAAAAAAAAAAAAAAGACATGGTTGAACAGTCCCACGTGAGCCCTGTGTCTGTGCGGCTGCAAATGGGCTGCGTGCACTCACTGTGTCTGCTCCATGCGTGACTCCAGACTGCACTGGCTGTGAGCCTTGTTATCACCACTATGAATTGTTCCAGTGACACTGGCAATTTTAAGAAATGAGTGGTAACACTAAGCACAGTGGCTCAAACCTGCAGTCCTAGCACTCTAGGAGGCTGACTTGGGAGGATCCCTTGGACTCAGGAATCTGAGATTGCTGTGAGCTAGACTGACCCCTACACTGTAGCTGGCAACCGAGACTGTCTCCAAAAAAAAAAAAAGAAAAGGAAAGGAAAGAAATGAGTGTGTAAAGAACATGCAAGTCCACTTTCCTGTCTGGAGCCCCAAGGGTGGGGGTTGGGGAGGAGGTGGGGTCCACTACTGGGAGTGGGGCTGGCTGGGGCTGTCCCTGGGCCATTGCTGCTGCCCCTCGGGCCCCAGCCCTCCCAAGGAGCTTCCTGTTGACTCAGGACTGAGCCTTGGGTTGAGTCTTCTTGAGGTAGAGGAGCCACTGGACCCCAGGGGTGTGTCCTGCAATTCAAGTGTCCAGACCAGGGTGGGGCCTAGAATAACAAAATGAGGCAGGGCGCAGTGGCTCACACCTGTAATCCTAGCACCCTGGGAGGCCAAGGTGGGTGGATAGCTTGAGCTCAGGTTCAAGATCAACCTGAATGAAAAAGCAAGACCCCATCTCTACTAAACATAGAAAAACTGAGGCAAGAGGATCTCTTGAGCCCAAGTTGGAAGTTGCTATGAGCTATGACGCCATAGCACTGTACCCAGGACAACTCTGTCTCAAAAAAAGAAAAAAAAATAGAATAACAAAATGAGAAAAGGAGGATGCCCTGACTGGTGGACCAAACAGCCAAGTGGGGTGCCAAGCAGGGGCCCCTCCCTGGGAATGAGGTAGGTTTGTAGTGGGTATCCACACTCCCTAGCTTAGGCCCACACATAGGCCATCACCCCTCCTTCACCAGTCCAGGAAGATGTGGGTAAGTCAGAATCCAGGGCACTCAAATCTGAGTGGGAAAGGAAATGCTCAGAAGACATTTTTATAAAGTGTGAGCTCTGCATACCTGTATTTGGGGTACACAGACATGGATACACAGTGTTGACCTCCCCCCAAGACCAGGCTGACCACAACCCAGACCATAACTATAAGAGGCCTGGTAAGGCACTGAGGGGCAGATGGCATTTTTGGTAGTCACCACGTGGCACCTCTGACATCAGACAGGGACTAGAACCCTGAACAAACTGATCACACTTTTAACAGAGAAAAGCAATGAAAGCCAGGCAAGAGCTGTATTAGTCATCTACAGCTGTGTAACAAATTACCCCTTAGCTTAATAAGTGACTTGAAACACCCAGTATTGGCTCGGCGCCTGTGGCTCAAGCGGCTAAGGCGCCAGCCACATACACCTAAGGTGGCAGGTTCGAATCCCTAGC